ACCCATGTTCAAAACTTAATCACATTCCAAGCATTCATAAATGTCACAAACGAAGCATATGGTAAATACAATGAAAATTAAGTCTACTTCATAAGACAAGTAACATTTTCATAATTAAGCCAGCACCAGTGACCCATCAAGTGGACACATTTTCCTATGTCTACATAATTTGATTTTTGAGTTAATAATTATTCTGATCTTCCGCGGTAAATGTAAATTTCCCAATTATATTATTGATCTTCAGATTAGCTCAGAAGATCAGTGGGAGATTATTTAATTCTAGTCAACTATTTTAAAAGTTATCATAAAGACAAAAGAAGGAGGCAGATGATCTCAAAGTTATGACTAGAGGGGACAGATTCAATTCATGACTGGTTCCAGCAGGCCACAGAGGGCAGTTCTGAATGGGAGGGGTGTCACTGTGGGAAGTGTATGAAGAGAAGAGCCTTTCGGGGAATTTCTGTCCTTGTGGGCTTTCGGATTAGCTGTTCATGCCTGGGATAGTTTCAGCTCTCAATTCTATCACACTCAACAGAGAAAGCAGAGGTGGTTAAGTAAGGTGTTTTCCTTCCCTTGCTAGTTCCAACTCAAAACTTTGAACTCAAGTGACCCGATGACATTTTTGTGGGTAAGGATCCAGGAATTATCATTCATGGTTCCTCTTCAATACTTCAAGATAACAATGGTATAGGTCCTCAAGATGACTATATGGCTGGTAAGCACAGTTTATGCCTTCTCTGTTGAAGACTGGCTTCCTCTACACTTAACATACCTTTTATAGATTAACTTCAAGTCTTTTAGAATGAAGACCTTACGTAGGATTTCATATTTACATATATTTGTTTGAATTTTATATGGAGATGTTCAAAGGAAGGAAAACATGGCAGGTCCAATAGAATAAAAAAATCCGAAAGTCTAAAAGAAATGGATGGATATCTGAAATCATGGGAACCTCCAAAGTCAAACCAAGAAGGCATAAAACTAAGAAGAGATTAACAGTTTAAATAGACCCATAACATATAAGTAACTTGAAACAGTAATACAAACCCTCCCAACTACAAAAAGCCTAGGCCCAGATGGATTTACAGCAGAATTCTACCAGGCATTTCAAGAAGACCTTCAACCAATACCACTTAACTTATTGAAAATAATAGAAACAGAGGGAGAACTCCCAAATTCCTTCTATGAAGCCAGCATCACTCTAATACCCAAATCGGGTAAAGACACAACCAAAAAAGAAAACTATAGACCCATATGCTTAATGAACATAGATGCAAAATTTATCAAAATACTTGCAAATCACATACAGACACACATCAAAAAGATCACTCACCATGATCAAGTAGGCTTTATCCCAGAGACACAAGGATGGTTCAATATATGCAAGTCAATTAATATCATTAATCATATAAATGGACTCATATAAAGACAAAAACCACATTGTCATCTCAATAGATGCAGAAAAGGCTTTTGACAAAATTCAGCATGTATTTATGTTCAAAGTCCTAAAGGGAATTGGACTGGAGGGAACATACCTCAACATAATTAAAGCTATATACAACAAACCCACAGCCAATATCATCCTAATGGAGAAAAAATGGAACCATTCCCATTAAAATCAGGAACCAGACAAGGATGTCCACTATCTCCACTCCTTTTCAACACAGTTTTTGAAACTCTTGCTAGAGCAATAAGACAGGAGAAGGAAATTAAATGATTACTAATTGGAAAAGAAGAGGTCAAATTATCC